TTAAAACTTTTGGCTGAATTAGAGAATTTCTGGAGTCAGACTGGTATTGCATGATACTTGCAGCAAGTGGCCTAGACTGTAGAAACTTACTGGGAATAGATTGGGTTTCTGTAAGTGACTCCAGAGTGCTCAACAAAATGTAAGGGGAAAGGCAATGGTCCTGTGACTGTAGTCTTAAGCCCCCTGGTCCTAGGGGAGTGGAAAATAACTTCAATGTGGTAAATAAACACTTTACAAAGGAAACGTGTGCTGCGTTGAGCTTTTAAAGTGATAATTCTTGAAAGAATGAACAGAAATACAGTAGTGGCTAAATCACTCAGCTGGACTGTGAGGTCTTCCTTCGAATTTGTAGAGGTTTGCTGCTGTGATCATGAGAATCAGGGAACCACGAACAACAGCCCTCATCTTCAGTTCAGGAAAAATGGTCTGCACAGGAGCAAAAAGGTAATTTTTTGTTTTTCTTTCCCTCTAAAGGTCTGGGTCCTACAGCTATGCTTATATTCTGATGAAAAATGTCAGAAAACTGTGTTTAAATCATCTAGCAAAGGGCTGTCATAATTTCAAGAAAAAATGAAGCACTGGTATTGAAAAATGTCTGTCTTCCTTCAAGATGACAGTTTAGTAACTACTAAACTGCGTGCTTCTGTCCCTGCATATAGATTGAGCTGAGCAGACATTAGCAGAAAAGCTGCTAAAATGCCCAGGAATTGTTAAGGGGTTATTTGCATTTCTCTCCGACTTTAAAGTGGATTAGGACATAACTTGTGTCTGTCAAGTCTCTCTTCAGTGTCTGTGTTCACCAATCAACACATCTGCCTCTAGAGAAAATGGGAATTGGAAAAAAGCAAATATTATTTCTGTGCTTTGAAGCTCTTTTCCTCAAGTTCAGCAGCTGCCTTGATTTTTATGTCCCTAAACCGTCAACGAGATAATGCATTAACTTACAGCTTAGGAGACCTCTTGTCCAACCCATACCACCACCCAACTTAGCTAGATGATTGTACTGGTGTCTGCGGTCTACCTCATGGATCAGCTCTGAGAAGCTGTTGTATGGAACTGAGAAAAAGAAACCTGTGAAGAGGGGAACTCCTGGGTGCTCCAGTGGGCTCAGACAGACCACAGGAAAGTGAATGACAAAGTGCCTCTTCCTTTCAGCTCACTGAAGTGGTTCTGGGGATTGGGGCTTGCTATTTTAAGCAGTAGCATATCTTTTTCTGGAGGACAGATTAGCATGGTGGTGGCTCTAAACTGACTCCAGCTTGAGAGCAGAAGAAAGCACTAATCAAAGCTGCTTTCCCCTTCTGCTCTTCCTTCAGTGAAGAGCAATCCCGGCTCGCAGCCAGGAAGTATGCGCGTGTGGTGCAGAAGCTTGGGTTCCCTGCCAAGTTCCTGGACTTCAAGATACAGAATATGGTTGGGAGCTGTGACGTGAGGTTCCCCATCCGGCTGGAAGGCTTGGTTCCATGCAACGCCAGAGTCTTTGTAAGCTGCCAACAAACTCAAATTCTGAGGCTGTACAAGCCTGGCAAAAGATAGTAATAATTAACTGGATACTGAATATCGAGTGTGTCGTCTTGCTCACCAAAAGACGTGCTCACTGACTCAGCAAGCGTGAAGTGGCTGTAGATGCTGTGTGTTGCAGAAGATAAACCTTACTATCTTCATTGCAATAACTCCCGTTCTGAGTGGTGTGCAGGCCGAAATGACCCTCTGCATCATTGCCAGGACGACATACAGCAGCCAGCAGTAAAGCTTCCAGTGCTTGAAACTGTGACTGCTGCAATTCAACAGCGACGGGCTCTTCTAAATTGCCCTCCTGTGTGTTGGTCACTGCTTTCTCCTTGCAGGAACACCATAACCTCCAGCTTTAGAAACCCTGCAAGCTGAGAGCATGCTACACAAATGTTCAGTCACTTCTGGGGTAAACTGGATGCACAACAGATCCAGTTAAGATGAAGGGCTGAAGAGCTGCAAGAAGCTCCTGGGTTCTTTGCTCAGCTGGTTAATGAAGACATTCTCTCTTGTAAAAGCTTTCTTTGCCTGGTAATACTGTTGTTGGACACGCTCTTCAGTGTTGCTGCATATCAGCAATGTGCACCAGAGATTTTCATTAACCTGAGCAATGTCAGTGAGGAGAATTTTCCTGGTCTCATTGCCAAGTGCAGTATCAAACCTTAGTGGGTATTTTTCTTCACTGCAGACCAGTGTCTGGTGTTGGTTTCCACCAACAGGAAAATAAGCAGTCTTGACTTCAGGTTTAACTAGAGCAGCTCTTAAGCTACTTGAACCTGCTCTATGCCCTTGCTCCATTGTGAACCTTTTAATACTAAGTGGGCTGCTTAACTCCCATCAAATTAGATGCCTATCTGCAAGGATAAGGTTTCTAAACTTCAGGCATGAAGCCAGACTCCAGCTGCAAAATACAGAACTTAAAATATGGTATGTTTCTGGGATATTGTTTCCGTTCTTTGTCTGGATGACTATTAGCCATCAATTTATAATAAACCTGTTGTTGAGTGATGGGCATGCTGTGCCTTCAAGATGGGCTTGTTCAGAACTAGTTATGGCCACCGCTGAGGAAAGGATGAAGATTTCAGCACTGACAAAATCAAAATTCAGTTTTCTCTCTTATTAGCACTGCATTTAATATTTTGCATTTAATTTGGGGACTAATATATATATTAAAGATTCTCTTGGCTGTCATCTTAGTTGCACAAGATGCTTCCTGATAAGGGCTCTCTGCAGACTAAGAAGGATTTGAGTACTGTTTGAAAATTACAATAATGGTTTTGATGCTATGAAAAATCAGATTCACAAGGGGCTCAGAAGTCTTTGAAAGTAAGCATGAATGAACTCCTACCAGCTCCAGATGGGATTACCAGGTTTTTCTTGGAGATGTCTAAAACCTGACCTGCCTTTCTCTGGGTAGCTAGCTAAAGTCTGTGGGATTAATGACTCTATTGTTAGTATAATTAAAGAGCACTTTATGCATACAACATTGAAACAGTATTTGCATGTTTCTAATATTACCTGCTTGCTTTTAAACAGCTATGAACCTGAACTATTTCCTGGCCTTATTTATAGGATGGTCAAACCAAGGATAGTGTTGCTTATCTTTGTGTCAGGAAAAGTTGTGCTGACTGGTAAGTGGTCTCCCTCTGTATGTCTGTAATCAAGTGCTACCACACTTTCTGAGAAAGCATTTAAATTGAACAGTAGCTAAACTAATATCTTGCCACAGTAAAGCCGCTCGGTGACCTCTTTTTAATGCCTACTGCTGATTATGTTTTCTGCAGATAATGGTATTGTTGAGCTAGAATCTTGTATTGCTTCATATAGTGTCTCAGATTTCCATGTGGTTAAACTTGAGTATCTTTATTCAAAGTATAATTCCATGTGTCAATGTACAGAATCCCAACAGGATGCTGACATGCTAGCAACTACTCAGTCTCTTAAATATGAATATCACAATAAGCAATTTAAAATTGCTTGGACAGGAAGCAAACTTCTTAAACCACTTTACTGACAACATTTAGCGGGGATTATTAGAGGAAAGGGTGGAGATCGAAGAACTTGTTCCAAACTGTTTGGCAAAATACTCGTGAGGCAAAAGCCTTCCTGAGTAAGTGTGCTCAGCAGATACCTGTACCTCAGAGCCTATGTCAAAAAAAAAATCGAATTCCTGAGTGCATGTTCCTAATACATCTTTTGTAAAGCTCATTAAAATACTTTTATTCAGATGTATTGAAAGGTAAATAGTCTTTGTTCCCAGAGGACCCGAATGCTGTACGTATATTCACAAAGCAGTTCTGAGGTACGTGAAAGATGAAAGAGAAGTGCCTGCCTTTAGCCAGAGATTCTTACAATCGTAAATCATGAATGAGCTCAGCTGACTGAAGAATGGGGCACTCTGTACAAAGCTTAAACGCTTCCCCCACCTTCTCCTTGGGTCCAGTAAAATCATACTGGCCTGTTCCATTCCTCTGATACTTGCATTTCTGGGTACGCTAATTGCAACACCGAGTGTGCAGCAGGCCCAGAAGGACTAAGGCAAGTCCTTCTCTGTGAACACTGGGCCCAGCTGTAATGACAAAACTGAAATTTGCTGAGCTGCGAGGGGTTTTTCTTTTTTCCCCTCATCAAGAAAGGAACTTCACTTTTGAAAGTAAAAGTTGTAGTAATGCAGATGAATTAGTCATGTCCAAGTGTGTTCTGAGGCAAAGATTTAAATGTTCCTCCTGAGTGCCACTTAATCAACTACTACTTCATTTAAATGCATTTTTTTTTTTTTGTAGCTAATGTTTTTTGCACTAGCATGGTAGAGTAGTGTCACTGTCAAGGAATGTTCCTGCCTACTGCAGTACAGTTAGCGTACCAGACTTGGTATTAAAGATTTGCTTGCAGTAACATGGAAAATTTGAAATCACAGGAGCCCTAACAAAGCTTAAAAATAAAAATGCTCCTCCTCAGAACTGGAGGGGAGTTCTCAAACTGTGGATCCAACTTCCAGTATTGAAATAAATGCCCTTCACTTGTTTCTATCTTTCCACTTACCTTAGCAACAGGCAGAGCTCTTACTGTTAAGCAGACAATACCATGGTTCTCAGGTTTGGGGTTTTTTTTTCCCCAAGTCAATGTTTTTTTTTTTTACCTGTCAAGAGTAGCCAATTGCTGGGTTGGTTCCACAGATTAAACAAAACTAGTCTAGTCTTAAAGCAAAGCAAGCTAGAAATGGCTCTTTGAGTTGGTGGAAGTACGATAGAAATTCTGCCTTAAACTAATAGTAAGTTTCTCTTAAACTCCTGTGTTTCTTCATGGTTTGTAACCTTATCATTAGGTTTGAGTTGCATCCAGTTATTGTCAACACTGTTAAGAATTAACCTGGTGGTTTTTTTTTTTTTCCCTAAATGTCTTTCTAGGAGCAAAAGAGCGTTCTGAAATCTATGAGGCATTTGAGAACATCTACCCCATTCTAAAAGGTTTCAAGAAAGCGCCATAACATGGCCCGTAAAGCAACTAAGAATAATCCATGGGTTTGTATTGCTATGCATGGAACAGAAGCAAGGCCATTCCTGGACCCAATGGTACAGCTGTGGATTATGAAGCAAAGGATGCTATTCTGAATGCTATAAATGCTGATGCCTTCCTATACTTTGTGAAATGGTTTTTTGCTTTCAGATTAGCTGTCTGTAATCCATTTGAGTTCTGACAACTGCTGTCAAGCTGAAAAATTTGCCACATGAATGTACTTAATAGAATGCATATTAAGGTGGCACTTCTTATTATTTCCTATTACGAAATACTTTATTTTGTAATAGGAAACCACGTGTCTTTTCCCTTGTTGAACAAGGGAATCCACCCTGCACTTCAAACTAGCTTTATCCAAATCCTCAGCTTTAAGTGTACTGAAACCTGGCTCCTGCAACATTGTGTTTTCATGTTTAAACTCAAAATATATTTTTGCCTATTATACAGCTTACAAAATCCAGCATGACTTGATGTCACTGTTCTGAAGACAGTGATTGTAGAGGATATACACCAAATCCCTCTGATCCTACCGGTTGGATAAACTCCTATGTGTAAAGGTGTTGGTACTCCCTTCACAGAGAAGACACTCAGGGCCCCTGACCGTGCTAGAACATACCTAGAAAGTCTGTGGGTGGAGGGGTAACTAAGCAAATTACCTGATCTGTCATAACACAAATCAGGTTTTAACAAAATGCTACCCACTTGCATTCCTGAAGTCCCCTCAGATGATGGGATTTTGTTGCTTGGCCCAGACAAAAACATGTTGGTTAGGAACTGCTTTTAAAATGGGCTCAAGGACAACACAGTCTTGTACTTTTATGTTTTATCTCCAAGTGAACTCAAGGCTTCCTTTGCAAAAGGGGTCCTGCTCAGACTGGTGATGTGACTTGGAACAGTGTGAAAATTACCCTGTTCTGGTACCTCCTGTGATTCCCTGGAAGCAAGGGGTGGTTTTTTGGGGGGTTGGGCTTGGTTTTTTGGGGTGTTTTTTTTTCTTCCCAGGACAGGGCTTTGGTGCTGATGGGGTTTGTCTTGTGTCCTCCCTTTGTTTTCTGCTGAAGATGGGCCAGATCTGTCAGGGAATTCCCTGAGCCACTAGAGGTTGCTGTTAGATGACTTAAGCGTAACCCAGGCCAAAAGCTATCCCCGTCCTTCTCGATGGAAATGTACGGTATGGGCAATGGCTTCATGTGCGACAGGGCGTTATCGTCTTGCCGGTCTTAGTTTTGCTGTCACAAGTTTATTTCTGATTCGGTGAGGATGTGATTTCAACCTCTGTGTCTGTGATATGTCTCACGAGTGCTTCTGTAACTCTGCTCCTCTGGAAAAAGGTTTGAAAAGCTTCATGCACTTCCTTACGATAAACTGGTCTTAACTATGTTATCAGTTCCTTTGTCACAGTCAAACCATGGATTTCCACACTCAAATCTATTCTAAACAGAGGCTTACTTTTCTGTTTGTTTTCCAATGCTGTAGACTTTCCACAGCTACGGGCTGGACTCTTGTTTGCCCTGGAGCTGTAAAAGCTGATAAGCTTGACTTACAATAATCTTTTGCAAGTGAAAAACAACCTGCCCTTATTGGGATGCTGGAAAAAGTTTATTTAAGATGACCCCTCTTCAAGAAATTGCTTTTTAATTAAGAGCTTAGCCACATAATTTTGCCAGTGAAGTTAATGCTCTTTAAAAGTGTAGATAAAGTCTTAAAGATAAGAAATGGGCTCTGTGCCTTTTCACTGTGCTACTGATAACTTTGCTGTGGTAACTCTTGTCTTAAAAACAACTACCTCGGTTCTACCTACATAGTGCTGTTCATGCTAGTGTTTTGTAGCACTTAAATACACCAGGAAGCGCAAACAATATAGGGTGGGATTCTCTTTTTTTTTTTTTTTTTTTCTCTTTTTTTTAACTGGGACTTCTTTTTTCAAGGGGGTATTGCTTTAAGTTATTCTGGCTTCTGTGGACTGTTTCTCTTCTAATTGCCCAGTGTTTCCAGAGGACTGGCTTCTAGATACTAGTTGATCATACCCATTTAACTCCTGAGGCTGGGGTGAGGAAACCTGCTAGCCTGTTGCTCTTAAGGATGCGTGTGGATGCTTGTCACTTTTCTTATACAAGTTCTTATTATAAATATAACCCCAAGGGACTGACTTTGAGGGGTATATGCAGTCCAGGCGGCAGTGGTGTTGGCTGGCTATGGCACAGCCCACCCCCCCCTTGGGACCGCTGTGAGGATAACTGCCCTTGGAGCCCCACCGCCCCCCTGCTCCTGGTCCGGGTGTCCTACCCGGGGCCGTGAAGCGCTGCCCCTCCTGGGTTAGAGACCAGCACCGGGTTCACAGGGACCCCCGGGAAGCCGAACGCACCCACCCTGCTTACAGCTGCAAGGGTGATGGCAGACCTGCAGTGCGTGCGCTCTACTTCTTTT